ATCTCCTGTTTTGTCTTACAGCTGGTATGTGGCGTATGGTCACAAACTAATTTGGAGAAGGAGGGAGCCTCTTGTGAAGCTGTGGCATGAGCTTCGCTCTAAGGGTGGCAAGGGATCGAGACCCGGCGGGGGGCCTGAGGTCAGAGGTGGCGGTGGTGGACAGTAGTAGCAGTAACCATCAACCAGCCTTACCTAAAGGTCCCCGGAGTTCTTTACCAACAGAAATCCTCTGGTCATGGAAAAGATCTGGATGTTTTCAATTTGTTGAAATGGGTTGTTATTTTTTATGAATAAATACAAAAATATGCAAACATCTAATCTGTTCAGTTTCAACAGTGAGTTAGTTTGTTTTGATGGGGCCATATTGGCATTTTAGGTGCTTCCTTCCTTAAGCATGGTACTACCGTTTGTTTCATTCTGAAGCTTTGATATAAGTTTTAAAAAGGTCATTGCTGTGTTTAAAAAAAATATAAAAAAGTATCATCTCTGATGCACAGAACATTCATTTTTCTTGTTTGGATTTGTTTATGAACTACCAACCATAGTTCTGCCAAGTCCTGTGAAACAAATGTGATTTATATTTGTCTGCACAGATGAACGTTTTGGATCAGTTCTGCCATCTTTAATATTAGAGGCCATATTCGTTCTGTGTTCTAATTATGCTGCCAACAACCGTCTTGTGGACAGAAACAAAAATAACGTTTGATGTTGGGTAAACTACCGTTGTACTGCAAGATTTAACTTGACTTTTTGCTACATTGTGAATACTGTCTCGGTGTAATTTATCATAAGTGGTATTTGCCCAGTTTTAATACTAAGTCCAAACAACATATATGTTGCAATGTTTTGACAAGTGAAATCTTAGATCTGAAAAGGATGAACTTTCTTTTTATCGTCACTGAGTGCAGACATTTTCTTTGACATAAAATGACATCTGAGTTATAACCAACCAAATTGTCCTCTTTTGTAAACCTGATTTTTTTTATTGTTATAATTTGCTATCTCTATTACCGTACTACGACAAAATATATTCCTAATATTCTGTGTGACTTGCCCCAACTAAGGATGAGTGGCAACTTTTTTAATCTAACACTGCTATTTTGCTATATGCACATATAGCAAATAGCTGCAGCCTAAAATTCTTCATACCTTTGGTTATCTTTTTTCTTCGCTGGATATTGTCATGTTTGCAAGTAGAATGATTAGCGTTAGAAAGGAGGCCCACCAACTTCAAAGACTTGGAGATCATCACCAAAGGTAAATCATGAAAATGGCAATGGAAACTTCAAAAAACTTGATCAGTAATTATGAGGAGTTCCTCATTTCTGTAATGTCAATCAAGATTTGTCCATTGATTATTGAGAAGGGGAATAAATCTCAGGCTAACTCATTAAGAGTGAATAAAGTATTCTTTAATTGTTTTTAACTGTCACAAATAGGACAGAGTCCTTAAATTGGTACAGAATTTTTTTTTATTAAAAGAAAACCCAACTTAAATCATATTCTTTGAATTCTGAAGATGTGTGTTTCTTAGGGTCTTAGTTCTTAGTAAAAATGAACCATATGAATAATTTTCTGGGCCTGTATTAAATTTCATTTCTTAAAAAAAACAACTATATGCCTGTATATAATAACTTATGTTTTCAAACCTACTATTCTTTTTGAATTGCAGTTCAGCAAGTGATTCTATCAAGAATACATTTTTACATCTGACTCTTCTGTGTTGTCATCACTATCTTGCGATGAGAACGACCTTCGAATCACATGAGACTTAAAGCATCAGCTGATTGTCATGAGAAGCATTAACTAATCAAACAAGTCTACCAAAGTCCTCAGCCATCTCATCTCTTACTTTGGCCCAAATCATCCACTTGTAACTTCTTCATCCCCTACTCTTGTGATTGGCATAGCTTGGGAAACCAAATTGGGAAACCATGAGGTTGGAGTAGTAGAGCGGCATGAAGCCATAGATCTGCGCCAGCCGGTTCAAACAGTACGATCTCTGGAGAAGGTGCTCAGGACGATGCCACATTCCCTGATATCCACTGCTGGCATCTTTCTCAAGGTTGCGCAGGTCCACAGGCTTGACAAAGATCCCTGAAGGTCTGTGGACTCTGCCTGAATTTGAGTGTTTTCTTAAATACAGAGCAACAGCAAAGTTCACAGCGATATCGTCACAGTTTTGGGTTTCGTCAACTAAGGCGTGTACTTCTTTAGGCTGATCCTGGAATAGTTGTAGGTAGCGCTGATGGAAGAAGGCAGCACCGATCAGAACCATAGAATACCTGCAGGGAGAACAGAACTAAGTAAGAGCAAACACAACAAGGACCCCAAACTGAAGTCAAATGCAAGGGCAACTTACATGTCTCCTCCAGCTGCTTCTGGATTCTGCAGCTCAAAGCTACCATAACTGTAAACTCCTCCAGCTGTTGAGACGTGTTTCCGAGGGACAAATCCAACAATTTGGTCTGGAAATTGCTTCAAGACATAGAAATGTAGCGCTCAATTATATGACTAACACAGTTAATACAGTTATTTTACAACCCCTCAGTCATAAGACTAGAAATGCTGCTTTAATTTAATAGACAATGAATCGTATTACCTTCCACACCGAAAAAGCAAAAGTGATGTCAGGAACACTGACAAGGGTGTCATCATCCAGCATTAACACAGCTAAATGGTTAAGAGAAAAAGAATCAGAAGGGATCAAAAGAGAAAAAACTCAAATACTAGTAAAAATTGACAAAAATTAAATAAAAATTTCCTGTCAGATATCCATTTTTCTTCAAGGTCTCTAATTGATCAACTCTACTTTTTTTAATAAAGAGTTATGAAAGAAAATAATGTGCAGCAGGTGCTTTGATAGAATTAGCAGTTTACTAACCAACCAAAAATGACAAAATACAAGAATATAATTATGCACGTCTCTGACCTTCACGTAATATAAAAAGTGCATCAAACTGCATCCTGTTGGTTGATTGAGTTCAAAGTTTTATTATATAATACATATAGGAAAAACTCAGAATTTTTGGTGTTTGTCTTGCCAATAATTTAATATTTGATGAAGTAAAAATGGTCTAATTCTAGTCTCCGCTCTGTTGAATGGCACGACTCTGGTTAAATGAAATTTTAAAAAATCTGTGAATATTTTACACATTGATGTAAGTTAAAAATGCACTGACCATTGGTGGCAATCTCAGAGAACGGCTGTAGCCTGTTGCGCATTTGGTTTTTTGCCTGTTCTTTAAAGACCACCCGGACTGGATGAGGACCCAGGGATTCCCACAGCTTGGCCGGAGTCTGCTCCCTGATGTTATTCCAAACTATGATGATCATCTGAAGATGAGGCACTGCCTGGTAATGGTTCAGGAGTTTGAGTAAAATGTCTGTGCGGTTGTAGGTTTGGATGATGATGGTAAACTTCTCTTCTGGGGCATCTGCAGGTTGACCCTGAGCAGGGTTTCCGTTTTGCGGCGCTGCTCTGCGCAGCACTCCCAGGAACCCAGCAACATCTCCATGCTCCTCGGCAGGGGGCAACAGAGCCGTCAAGGCAGCTCCGACCAAGAAGATCAGCAGGAGTGGAAAAATGATACACTTTCGCCGAATTCCAAAGCAGCAACGCGGAAGCCTGCAAACAAGAGGAGACATACACTGACTTTTTTTTTTTTTTTTAGAAAAAACAATGTAGTAACTGAATGCTGTGTTTGATTTTAATTGGTAATCATGTGCAGTACACAGCTTCAAACATAATTTCCTGACCCTTTTTCATCTCACAACAACGAACTGAAACTTGGCAAAATAAAATTTTTGCCCAGAGGCAACTACGTGCCATTATGGAAAAAAACATTGTCTTCCAACAAAGAAAATTCTGATGTTTGCAATAAGGTAGATATGATATTCTGTAGTCTTCAGGTTCTAATGTCACACTGAATTTTGCCCCTCTAATTTATTAATGAAATGGACACATTTAGTTTATGTAGAAGATAGAGCAGAAGATCACAGAGAAGAACTGATTTAAGAGCAACTTCTCTGCTAAAGACAAAGCAGTGGTATACGCAGCAGCAGCTCCTTGTTTAACTTGCACATTGCAAGTGATATTGCAGGCAAGAAACCACAAAAAAAAAAGTTTCAAAATACACTTACAATACGTTCATTTGCAGCATTTTTAAAAAAAAAAATAAACACACTCGTCATTCCCAATCCTAATCAGCTATATTATAGAATACGGATGAAACAGTTTTCCTTTGTTGTTCTGGGACGGGTCAAATCGATATTAAAATATCAGAGTCTCGTGCACTGATTTGATCAACATTCCTCGCTTTTTGTTTCCATGACTGCTCATGTTTCTCTGCTGATGCTGTGAACTTTGTCCGGTGTGTTGCAAATGTTTCTCTCTGTTGAGTTTAGTTTTTTTTTTTTTCGCATCTCATTAGTTTAGCTTTTCTACTCCTTTATTTATAACTCACCTCATTTTGTTTGCGTTGAAATCATCTCGTTCTGGTTACTGTGGCGCCATATTTGTTGCGTAGCAATGACGTAACTAGCTGGCGTGGGAAAAAAAAGAGAAGAAATCTGCTTTCTCTGCTTTTAGAGTCAGACGTGAAAAAGTGTGCTGAGAGTAACAAGAAATTAGGAAATATGATAAAGAGAGATTTGAAACTTAATAAGATGTTAATTAAACGTAAAATGAATAAAGCAGTTATTACATTTTTGAAGGAAACAAGATTACATATAATAATTTAGATTAAAGGGAGGTACTGTGGTCCCACTCCAGCACAGTAGATGGCGATAATACGTCTTGACTGTAGATGTCACCCGCCAGTAAAAATCAGAAAGACGAAGAAGAAGTGGGTTGAGCCACACGTAAGAGCTCAAAGGTGATTGGAGAAAAAATGTGGGAGGTTTTTTTTATGCAAGTATTTTAAGAGAACTCTAGAATCTGCCTTGTCTATGTTTGTGGGATAATACCGGGAAAAGACTCCGCACACATAAATCTCAGCTGCACGCAGAGCACAGCTTAGTGTATTTTAGTGTGTTTTTGACATAAGAAACGTGAATACTAACTCTTTTATTTTGTTGTTCGGATCCAGAATTGTTTAAGAGAAGCATGCCGTTATTTCCAGCCCTGAGGTGTCCCACAGTCCAACTCTTCAATGGTCTGGAAATCCCAATATTTGGATTAGGTCTGTATTAGGCTTAAAATGTGACAGTTAAAGTTGGAAGAGTCAAAAGAAAAATGTTTAGAACATGTTCTCATGCTAAATTGTCTTTGTATTTTTTTGTGTGTGTGCGTGTATATATATATGTTCATGTTGTCTAATTTGCTTTGAAAGGCAAAGCTGTCACTTTCTGTTTAGTATTATGTATGTGCATGTTATACTGCAGTTGTCCACTGGGGGCAAAGAGAGCGAGTTCTTTTCTGTAGGCAGCACTGTTCTGAAGAAGAAGAAATGGAACCTGTGAATTATCAATAAAGTGAATACAGCTCCCTTACTAAAGAATATGTGTTCAATTATGAATATGACTACTGAAGAAAACGCAACAAAAATTAACACAATTTCAGAAATAAGTTTATTTGTAATGTTCTGCAAAGCCAATAAATACATTGGTCCAAACCAATTCCTGGGATCGATGCTCATCCAGAATTGTGATTTTTCTGTGTTTTTTAACAACATTTTTGCTGAAACACATGAGGGGGTGAATTGTAAATTATTGTCCAATGTGTATTTTGAGGGAAGCTTGAATTAGGTTTTTGTTAAGATTAAAGAATTAAGAGCACAGCTACAAGTAAATTAGTTCACAACTTAATTCATTTTGTGATTATTTTAAGTGCCACAATTAAAGGAACTGAATGTCTATTATAACATCCACAGTATTGTGTATACTAAGTATAGCTTTTTGCTGAGGTCTTTTTGGTATTATTATTATTATTGGTTTTCTATTGCTTTTCCCTAGAATTTGCCTAATTTGTAACAGCTTGACAATCATAGAACAGCATTTTTGCAACAATAAATAAATAAAGCATTTTTTTTAATTTTCAAAACATTTGAGAGATTAAATCTTGATTGAATGCCACAATGTCCCGTTGGCTCTATTTCTTCAGGTGCATGTTTGGGCTCCTCATCAGAGATTGTTTTGTTCTTTGACTGTCAGGTACATCTCATCATGGCGGATACTCACATGATGCCATCCTGTACGCTCTCACTGAATGCGGTATTCGCCACCTTGATACAGCAAAGCGGTATGGTTGTGAGGAGGAGCTGGGCAAAGCTGTCAAAGAGAGCGGGCTGCAACGAAGTGAACTATGGCTCACTAATAAACTCTGGCCTGGGGACTACGGATACACAGCTGCAAAAAAAGCTTGCCTGGACTCCTGCAGAGCAATGGGGGTTGAATATTTTGGTATGAGTTTGATCTAGCTTTGTAAAACAAATGTAATAGTCAATGTTTGGTCACAAAGCCTCTAAAAACCAGCCTTTAGTAATAAAGATGTCCTTCCTTTACTGTCTTCATCTTTTACCTTTGAATAGATTGTGATATCTTCTTGTTTTTTGTTTGCTTGTGTAATGGTTAGGTTTTCTCTTGTTTTTTAGATCTGTACCTGATGCATTGGCCGGCGTCATTAAAACCTGGTTGTTCTAACAGAGAGATTAGAGCTGAGACATGGAAAGCTCTGGAGGACCTTTACAAAAACGGTAGAAGGGCTTGATGTAAATATTAAACTGATTTCTCAGGGCACAGCATGTTGCAAGAACTTTCGTCACGCTGTTAATCTTTGCACCTTCCTGAGATTTTCCATCATTTTGGCAACTTTTAAAGCAGAATTTGGAACATTTCCCTACTAAGACTTGAACCTTGTGCTGCTTCAGTAATTTTTAGGTCACATAAGAACTTTTTAACGTGTTCTATAATGAGTAACTATTCTAAGGGAAGAGTTGTCCATCAACTGTGTATCAATCTGAATAAGGCGAATGTATTGCATTTACCTAATGATCTCCAGAGATTACAACCCCACTGAATGTCTGTCAGCTTCTTTTAACTTATTTGCACAATTTTAGTTCTGACTTTAATTACTTGACAAATGTTTCCCAATCACAGCACAGACTCTTGTGCTTTCTTCTGTCTTCTGGAATTGCATCTGTAGAGCCAGAACACAAACCTAGATAGATGTAAGGCACTGTTACAGCTACAATCTGACCTTATCATTGCAGGGATTTGTCGTGCTATTGGGGTGAGCAATTTTCTGATCCACCACCTGGAGCAGTTGAAGGAAGACTGTAGTGTGGTGCCACATGTTAACCAAGTAATTTTTCTATTTGTTCTGTTCATGTAAGTGTATTTATTCAATTATTGGATTAGATTCAGGACTGGTGAACTTTCAAGATTGTTCTCTGGCTCCCTGCAATATATATATTTTTTAATGGTCTTTTTCCAAAAGATTACTCTGCTTATTCAATAACTTTGCCAGGTGGAGTACCATCCTTTCCAACAACCCAAACACCTGATGGAGTATTGTCAGAAGAATGGGATAGTGTTTGAAGGCTACAGTCCCCTGGCCAAGGGTCAAGTCCTCAATGATCCTGTCGTGCAACAAATAGCAAAAAAGTACGGACGGACGGCTGCTCAGATCTGCCTTCGCTGGAGTATCCAGGTAGTCGCATTGTCTCACTGCTTCTGTAGTTTTTGTGTCTTTGTCTGTTGTTAACCAAAGTTATATTTTATCAAAATTATTCCCCAGAATGGCGTTGTCACAATTCCAAAGTCCATCAAAAAGAACAAGATACAGGAAAACTGCCAAGTGAGTCATAAGCCTGTCGACTTCTGAGCCTTATTAACATCCATACACTGCATAAAGATCTTGGTCTGGTGAACTAAGGATGATATTTCTGTCAATTATAGCTTTACCCTCTAAATGATTCGCTATTCACCAGGCTATAAAGTGATTTAATCTAAGTGGCCCAAAACAGATTTCACTTGGAATAAATCACAATAAAGATTTCCTGTTTTAAGCCAGTTAGGTGTTCATAACTTCAGTTTTCTAAATTCAGAATAAGTAAAATTAATATATATATTTTTTCAATTTCAAAAGTATACATAAAACTTAGTACTTGTTAGAACCACCTTTTAAACTGAAAATCCCTCAAAGATCTGATCAAATTGTAGCCCATTCCTCCCGACAAAACTATTTTGAGGTGTTGCTTTAAAATACATCCAGAAACATGTCCCCATTTATTAAAAATGTTGCAGATTCATTTCAGAACCTTACAAAGTTCTTTAAAAGGCATGAAAATCTTTGGCGTAGTCTTTAAAATCTAAGTAATGAGAAAAAAATGATAAAACTTTTTTTTCTAGCATTTATTTTACATCTCACATTCTAACATCTCACATTCTAACATCTTATACACAGGTGTTTGGGTTCCAACTTGATGAGAAAGACATGGTTGCTTTAGGAAATCTACATGATGGACGGCACACAAGTTGGGATCCTACAAATGTGGATTAAAGTTTACCAGGAAAAACAAAAGAACAATACTGGCAATAATTGTGTGTGACGGTCATTTTTTATGTGACTTCTCATAGGGGGCCACTGATGTAGATTTCCTGATGTAGTTTGTCTTAACTTCACATGACAAACTGGGAATTCAATGTGGTTAGCGTGCCTTTTTTTTTTTGTTTTGTAGTTTTACTTCCTTAAAATTTCATATTTAAAATGTGACAATTTAACTTTTGTTTGTATTATTTGAAGTTGATTATGTTCAATAATTGTTGCAGTTCTTCCATCACAGGATACAGTTTTAGAAAAAAAATCTTCAAATTGTGTACATTTAGTTTTGGGAATAAATTTATTGTTTTCAACCATATTAATTAATTTAAAAAAATAATAATACTCCAATATATTTGGGATTCAAAGTCTGAAATGACCATGAGTAAAATACACTTATGTGCTTTAATATTTGGTACATGAGCCTTTTGTAAGTACTTGCATCGTAATTGATGGGAATTAAAAGTGTAAGACATTTAAATAAAAATAAAAGTGTTAAGTGTGACATTACTGTTTCATATTTTGCAGAAATTTAGGAAGAAATCGCTTTCATGTGAGTTGTTGAACTATCTAGAACACAGTTTCTGCTGCAAAAGGTTCAAATTGAATCATAGGCCTTGAACACACAACTGGATCTGAACAGAAATGTCTGGAGCGACAACTATTGGGGAAAAAAATATTCTGGACTGTGTGGAACGTTGCTACATTTCTCTTTGTCTTCAAGGACACAAAAGGACGAGAAAAGCCTTAGTTAGCAATATCATTTAATCTTTCCCCCTCAGAATCACTGTTGCACATAAGTTACATTTTGTTGTTTTTTTTCTTCAATTTCACAGGTTCTTTTTTCCTTTCTTCAAACTTCCAGTTTGAGCTCCCTCTCGTATCAAACAAACACAACAAAAAAAAAGAAAGCAGATTGTATTATACAAAAATGCAAACCAATTTTCACACAGTGAATTCTCTTACAAAGTCATAAAATGGCGTATTAATGGCTACATCCACATTGGAGGAAGATAATTCTAGACATTCCTTAATGGAGTATAATATACATATAAAAACCTTTTTTTTCTTGCTGAAATCAAACCTGTACCTTAATTTAAGAGATATTTTACAAGGGAGTAATAATATAAAAGTCCATTTGTGAATTTCCTCAGAAAGTCTGAGAATAAAATGTGAGCCTCAAATAGCAGTAACAGAGGTCAGTGATCAAGGGTGTGGGTGGTTGTTTTATCATCAAAAGGGTGTAGGCAGCAGTTTCACTCAAAACAAAACACACAAGATTGAAATAAACATATTTGCCATTTACTAGAAAGTAAACTTCCCTCATACAATCACTGCACAAACGCTCTGCTAAGTGAATAGGTGTTTTAGGCTCATTCAGACCTGTGGTGACCCATCAAGCAGAACAAGCTTTTTGGTAGTTTTGGCTTACTCAAACTTAGAGCTCATTGGTACGACTCTAAATTGTGACGTGTTCCATTTTTTCAGATCTGATGCTCCTTGAACAAACAATGTAAAAAGAGCACGACAGCTAATCTGACAAGCTAATCTGTCAGACGAAACCGCCTGGTTATTGTCACTGGAGCGGTAGTGGGGCGAGGGAGAGAGAGAAGACCCAAACCTGCTCTAAAATCTCAACACTATGACCAGATACAGCACAATTAAAGGGGAGTAACCAAAAAAAAAAAAAACAAAAAAAAAAACGAACGAACAAAAAAAGAAATTAAAAAAAAAAAAAAAAAAGAAAAATGAGGGCACGTTTCCTACAATACAATCTATCACACACGAAAAAACATCTCCATATAAATTTTTCCAAAGTTACAGATTTTTGTCTTCTTCGGAAGCATATTCTATAAAGAACAACTTTGTTTGAACACAAAAGATTTAAGTGAACACACATCAATGCACACAGAGGTCCTTCGTCTGGGAAAGGATAAAGTCTGTGTTGGCAACCAGTGGACAGAAAAACAAACAAAACAACAACAAAAAAAAAAGAACAACATTTAGCTGATTCTAAGTAGAGATCATTTAATATAAATGCTGAGCAAGTAGAGTAAGAGGTGGCACATTAATAGTGCTTTAGTATATTAATGTATGTATACATACTCATATGTATAAGTGAGCTGTGTACCTAAACAATAAATGTAGCAAGGAGCAGCCTGAGGCTTTTAAGTGTGGATGGAGAGAAAACTAAATTGCTATCCTTGTGCTGACAAATTGAAAGAGGCGCCCTACAATACCTGATGTTTATGCCTTGAACTGATTCATCAGTGATCAGGGATTTGTCCGACAGTTTATAAGCAAAATGAGGGTTCGATATAACAACTTGACCCAGAGCAACTCTTTATCTTTTTAACCGTTTGAGCACATGAACTCATGCTAATTGTTTAGAGAAGGCGGAGAGCTCCGTGTTGAGAATCAGTGGTAAACAGTCCATCTGTTAAAGAAAGAGCTATCGCAGTGGCAATGGTGGTGATGAAGACAGCAATGGATGGTAGATCCAATATTAAATTGACTTTTTGGTCAGTTGTCGTAAATGCACTTGAGGACAGTTTGGAAGAAGAAGCAGGTGTGTCTCTTCAGGAACTATCGTTGCTGCTCTTCAAGCTGTAAACGGGTTTTGCCTCGACAACAGGAAAATTTCCCAGGGTTAGCAAAAAATGCAAATATTCTAAAGAAAGGAGGACACGTTTTCAGCGATGCTCCATAAAGTTCTCAGGAGGTAAGCTGCACCGCCCAAAATTGTAACAATGTAAAGCAAACAATCAAAATTAAGCAAAAAAATAATAATAATAATAATTAAAAAAAAAAAAATCAAAAACAAACAAACAAAAAAAAACACACAAGGGAAGGCAACTTCATAGAAGTTATGAGAACAAGTGACAAGATAATCCCAATGGGGAGGCCTCTGTGTGGCCAGAAGAGAAGCTCTGGTGAGGGAAATTCTATTGATTTATTTTGTTTTATTAGCCTTAATACTAGAAAAATTTCATATTTTATTATGAGCCAGGCCTAGCTGTGCTCAGAAACGCAGGCGAAAGGTGCTGAACGTAAACCACGTCAAGGTCACACCGCAACCAAGAGAAGCACCGAATATTTCCCTTATCGAAAAAAAAAAAAATCTCATTATCAACACAACTGCAATCTTTAAAACAGAATGCTTTTATTAAATAGATACTGCTTTCAAGTATGAAATAGAAATTATGCTCTTCATAAAATAATGAAAATTATACTTCCCGAAGAAATGCATTTCTAAAAAAAGCACCTGACGTGTCCATTTTGGCTGAATAATTGGTGAAATTTCTGTGATTTCCCTCCACAGATGTCTGCATCTGGCCAACCTCTCGTTACTATTTTGGGGGTGAGCGCAGAGCCACACGTTATGAGACTTTTCCTATAGTAAAGTCTCATTGCACAACATTTGAGACAAGCTCCTTGAAATGTATGTGAAGTGAAAGTGTTTTCTAACCTGTGCACCTCTGGATGTAACCGTTCAAACTACAAGTACGGCCCAACAGGCACACGACCTGTTTTTTTTGGGGGGGGGTTGGCGGGGAATTCAGTTTAATTCTGCTTTTATGGCATTTTATCAATTTTAATAAATATACACATGCTGTCTTCATCGCCACCATTTATTTTTTCTGATGTATCAATTTTGAGCCTTGTTAATCAAATACCAGTATAAAATAAAATAAAATAAAATAAAATAAAAAAAAAGAAAGAAAGAAAGAACACACAAGAAATGTTATTATATGCTCTGGTTTCCAGGCAAGGAAAGTCATAAAAAAGCTCATTCACAGAACAAAAAGAAAGAAAATCATCACGGCAGATACTGCTCATCTTCTAAATAGAATGGGTGTATGTGTGCCTGTGCATGCTTTTCAAATGAGCATCTTGCATGTGTGTGTGTGTGTGTGTGTGTGTGTGTGTGTGTGTGCGTGTACATAAGCGTGTGTTCCTATGAGCAGGAGTGGACAACACCATTCTTCTGCATCTCTGAACCAGCCACCACTGGATCAGAGCACATGCTCATTGCAGCCGTCTTATTGTTCAGTGACATTGCATTTTCCTGCAGACTGCTGGAGCCGTTGGACACTTCGCTGAATGAGAAGTGGAGAAAGAGAGCTGTATGAGTACATGCAAGAACAAAAGACAGAAAAGATGCAAGAAAACATACATAAAAAAACATACATACTAAAAGACACCGATTTCTGATGGGGGTTTTAAACTAAATATGCACGTCATGGTGTCTTTATTTCCTTGCTGCCATAACTTCACAATAAAATTATTCCTATGCCTAGCAGCAGAGGGGAACGAGTTAATCAATTACCTCCAAAACCTGACAGGGGAGGTTGAACAGAAACTGCAGCAACTTAATAGAAGAGTGTAGAATTTGGTCATCTGATAAAAAATGTATGCCTCCTTCAAAGTTGAGCTAAGGTTATACTCACCCGAGAGCCAGAGAGATTTCTTCCAGCTGGTTCTCGTGCTCTGGTTGTCCATTCTCTGCAGACTGCATTTTGTACTGTTGAACATCATGAGCTACTTGGTTTTCCTGCTATGGACAGAAACAAAAATAAACGTGAAAACAAAAAAGTCCCATCAGTAGAGGTGTCAACTAATGTAAGATTTTTCAAGCATCTGTACTTAAGTATATTTTTCTGTCAATTTCTTACTTTTAGGACAAATATTTGTGCTTTCCACTCCTTACATTACTTTCATGGTGGGGAAAAGAAAATGATGTGAAGCCATTTTAAAAGATCCACCTTCTGAACAGAAAGCTTGTCAAAGTGGTAGTAACGCAACAGTCAGATGCCAAAAACACCAAAAACCGAAGAAAAACACATTTTTGTGTGATAAAAACATGAATGAAGTAACACTGCAAAATAAAGGAAAAACAAATTCTGAGGCTTTCCCCATCAATAGTCTTATTTAAATGATAAGACCACTGATAATTCGGCTCATGCATTTCCATGTTGTCTGCGCAACGAACAAACAACTTGTGGCAAATGCATTGTTTTATCAACCATGAGCTTCTGGCGTTCGAGAACTTGCTGTCAAATCTTCTAAAACACAAACAGGTAAGTTGGCATGTTTGGGTGTTATTTAGTAGTGATCGTCTGTGTTGTAAGGCATTTTGTATGACGAAAACTTTTCTAGTATTTTAGACTAGGTAAAATTACTTTTTTTCTTTTTGTACTTAAGTACAAAATTTGTACTTTTATACCTTTACTTAAGTAAAGGAGTTCAATTTGTCATTTTACCAGTTGTTTCATCCAACTATTTGTACTTCTATTTCAGAAGAGAATGTGAATACTTTGAACACATCTGCCTGTCAACTACAGTAGAAACCAGTCATTCACAGATACAGAAAGTTTCCTACCAAAGCCATCTCTCGGGTCCTTTTGCCAATTTCTCTCTCCACCTGGTGGAGCTCTAAGCTTAACTGCTCATTGGAAACAGCTGACACACTGGCACCCCCTACTGGCCACTTGGGTTGCGGTTGCTGTGGAACCACTGCGGGGCCCTGGCTGGGTTGCACAGACTGGACGACCAATGCGCTGGCCTCCCTCTGCAGGAGCAAAGAGTTACTGGCGGCCTGCAGCAGTGAGACGAAGTAAAGAGAGTGTGGAAGCAGGAACATGTGGGCAAACAAAAAAAACATCTGCCATAAGATATATAAATCTAAACATTTTCAGAACTAAAAAGATTTTCATTCTTCTTTTTTTCACTTTTAAAGCACCACATTACTATAGCTTAGCTTCAGATCCATTCTACATACCTCTATGTTGTGCATCTGAGTCTGTTGAGTGATCTGCTGATTGACCTGCTGCAGCTCAATCTTTAACTGTTCTCTGTCTGGGGTTGTCATGGGAAGGCTGTGAAAATACAATGAACTGGTTTAATAATA